AAGATTTTCAGAGGCAGAATCTCGAAAAATCAGATGTCGAGATCTGAATATCGAAATCTCAGATTTCGATAAAAGAGGCCCGGTATCGAGATTTGGGCTCGAGATTAAGGATCTCGAGATTAGGGATCTCGAGATTTCAAATTTCGAGATGCTGATCTCGAGATTTGAAATGTCGAGAAGTTAATCTCTCGAAATCTTAATCTGATGAGTCAAATGTCGAGACCAGATGTCGAATCCTTTTCTCGAAATCAAGATTTCGAAATCCTAGATGTCGAAATCCTCAATGTCGAAATCCTTCAACCTGTAAAAATCAGATAATCAAAATCTGAAGATAGTTTCCTGTAGAGTTGAATTTCGAGATCTTCTGGTAAAGTTTTCAGCTCGAAAAACGTAGCAGAACCTGTGAACAAGTAGGATGTCGAGATGCCTAGCTCGAGATATCTCGAAATCAAAAATTGCGTAAAACACAAACTGAAGTATACCCTTTGATCGTTTTGAAAAGGCGATTCCAAAGGTGTAACTTTTACAACTTTTGAACAAGAAACAAAATTACAGAGCAAAAAATCGACAGAATGAACTACGTTATCAAAAACAGAGTATTCTGCAGGAATTCTTCTGATCGTTCTCGATCGGCTCTGATACCAAATGTTAATCCCAGAATTACAACAATCATACAACCATAACAGTGAAAAAGAAGCAGATAGAAAGAAATCGACAAGATTGAACGCGAATCTGATATACCGTATGAATCTGCCGCTACTCTCCCTGGAGAAGGAGAGCAGCGGCAACCTAATTTCTCTCTATCTCTACGCCTCTGCGTCTCTAAGCCTCTATTGATCAGTTAGGTTCCCGTAAGTTAGCCTCCTTTTATAGGAGAAGTTGGCTAACTTACGGGTTACAAGGAAGCCCACGGGCTGATACACATTTGTGGCCCGTATTACACGATTAATTAATAACTACACAAATACAAAGATAACTAACTAGATTGAACACCATAAAATATTCCCAACAATCTCCCCCTTGGTGATCAATCGTGTTGAATCAGCATTGCAGCGCAGATATCTTTGTCTTTGTTGTTATTGAGCTTCCTTTATCTTTGAACTTGACTCCAGAGGAAGGCTATCTGAAGAAATTCTTGCAATCTCCCCTTTGATGTCTTCTTGACAATTTGATCTTTGATGCCGGGGGTTGAGGGACCTTCAGTATCTTGCATGTAGTCCTTGCCTTCCAGAAGTTGCTCTTGATCAGCTTAGATGAAGTCCGGTGACGCCTCTAGAATGAATGTTCTTTGGAGAATAGGAGACGCCCATGGAATTCATCTTCAGGACAGGAGTATTTGACCTCTGTCTCCTCCACAATGTAGTCTTTTTGACTATTTGGAATGAATGCATTTGAGGAGAACTTGTCGGTGGCACAGCGGAACATAATGATCGTTGATTTGTGAGGGTAGCTGACCATTTGATTTGAGTTGCGGAGATAGGAGAGAGGGTGTTGAATTTTGTGATGGAGGAGTGAGTGAAGTGTCCCAGAATGATTTGTTCAGTGTTAACAGCATGTGGACCACTCTCCCCCTCATGACGATCCGATGAATCGGGACGTCATGCTTTTATTCTTTTATTCTGCGGAAATAAAAACATGAAAAAACAAGCAGAATCTAAAAAAGATAACGTAGCCCCCCGGGGTCGTGAAGACGCCCGTTATCATCACTATAGAGATAAACTCTAAAGCAATGGCCTGAAAATGTTGGTGATTCTGGTGTTGCAACAGCAGGACTTCCTTCCAATTATTGGTCTTCATCTGTAATAGATGAGCCCTATGGAAGTTCTCGCAGGTCATGTAGACCTGCAACTGACTCTAAAAGTGCATCTGTGTCCTAAAAAATTTCAAAACATTTGGGAGTGAGTAACTAGACACGACGTGATCAATGAAAGTTCAGTGGCATGGGGCTGAGGCCACTGTAGTCAGTATTACTTGCCTCGTAAGGAGGTAGTAATGAGAGATGTGGTTCCCCGTGAACTATGATTAAACACCTGTCTGTTGGGAGACAAGTGAGTGGTCTAGGGTAGGGTTGTGCATGCGCCGTTTGGACAAAATGCAGCGACTTCTACCCGGGATCTGAATAAATTCAGTCCTGAACCTATGGGGATAGTCCAGAGTATTTTAGTGGCTAGGAGCAAATGTTCAATTCATAGCAGGCAATTGAGGTAGCAGACTCATCATTGATAATTGTTTTTCTTCTCACTTGAGCCTTCTGCTTCCTAATGCTCATAATGTTCACTCACTCACTCGCTCACTTACGCACTTACGCTCGGCTTTGTCCCTTGGGTAGGCTTAGTTGGGTTTACTGAGCCATAGGGACATGTTCTCTCATTACTTTCTTCATTTTCTCTCTGTACTCCCCCTCAACTGGAGCACTCGGAATGCTTTGTCATTGTTAGGCGCCGGGGAGGATAACATTGAACACTCCCCCTAAAATGTTGCATCCTTTGAGAGATTCCTTGCTTTGTCGGTGTAAGGCGCCAGGAGAAGAAAACTGAAACTCCCCCTCAGAATGTGCAAGGTTTGATTGCTCACAGCTTGTCATACCCGCCATGTGTGTGGAGCAATCTGAACATGTACCACACATGACGGTTTCCCTGAGCTCATCATGTAGAATTTCAGCATATTGATGATCACATAATGTTGACGAGTCAGGAGAGGCTTCAGCAGTTGATTGTTGATTGTTGTAAGATGACCGTTGACGCGAGGTTGATTGAATTATCTACGATTTTCAGACCTTTATATTGAAGTTTTAGAAAAGCTTTGACCTCAGGGTTGACATTGAAAGAATTTGAACAGATTTGCCTAAGTTTTGACCTGGACATCGGTGATTTACAATGTTTGTCGGAAAACTAACGTTTTGACCCTCAGAGACTGCGAGTGAGGGCGCGTGAGAATGGGTTCTGGGGCATATCCCTAGAATTAATGTAGATCTTTTCGTTATCTTTCTAACAAAAAAAAGTTTGCTCAAATCGGATCACCGAGTCAAAAGTTATGGCCAAAACAGTGCGGTGTCGCAGAAAATCTCTAATTTTGAGTTTTTGAGGAATTTCTTCGAAGATGAGGTGCTCGATGTTGAATGTCGAGAGCAGGTGAATTTAAACAATATTCTAAGGAAAAAAACTCGAAATCCAAATCTGAAGATTTTAATTTCAAGTGTGCCTTGAAGAGTAATGACGAAATCCTCCTGCAAAACAAACCTCAGAATATCGAAATCTGCAGAATTTCAAAATGTTTGAACATCGAAAACTTTGGAGTTTCGAAAACCTCATAATCTCGAAAACTTGCTGTTTGAAAAACATCAGAACATCGAAAACTCATGAAACATATATAAGCAGGGAATCATTTAGAGATCCTTATAATGTAAAGCTTCGATGAACTGCAAAGGATGTCAAGATTCGAATTATGAGTTCCAAGAAACTGCAAACTTTGAAAGATTCAAAACATCGAGAAATTTTGAAAATCTCGAAATCTTCAGAATGTCGAGATCCAAAACATCGAGATCCCAAATGTCGAAATCCCAAAACTCGAAATTCCTAAACTCGAAATTCCAAATCTCGAGATCACAAATCTCGAGATCTTGATTTCGAGATTCAAATCTCGAGATCTTGATTTCGAGATTCAAATCTCGAGATCTTGATTTCGAGATTCAAATCTCGAGATCTTGATTTCGAGATTCAAATCTCGAGATCAAGATGTCGAGATGCAAATCTCGAGATCAAGATTTCGAGATTCAGATCTCGAGATCAAGATGTCGAGATGCACATCTCGAGATCAAGATGTCGAGATGCAAATCTCGAGATCTCAAATGTCGAGAAGAAGAAATCGAGTCCCTAAATGTCGAGATCCTGCAAAACGAAAACATTGATTTTTGAAAATCTGAAACCTGTTCTGAATAGCCCTGAAAGTCGAGATTCTCCTGTATCAGTTTCAAGCCAAAAACGTTTTTGCAGCAGTGAAAAAAGAGGATTTCGAGATCTCAATGTAGAGATCTTCGAAAAACAAAAACTGCAGAAAACGAAAAAAGAGGTATGCTGCTGGATCGGTTTTGAAAGGCGAATCCAACAGTATGATTTTTACAAAATTTCGTTCACAAACGAGATTACAGGAGCAAATCTCTACATATAGAAAAACTGAAGAAAAAACAGAGCAGTTCTTCGTTAAATCCAAAAATCGCAGACAGATCCAACCTGTTTCACGCCTCGGCTCTGATACCAAATGTTAATCCCAGAATACTTAACAAACAACAAATATAGCAGTGATAAAGAAGCAGATAGAAAGAAATCGACAAGATTGAACGCGAATCTGATATACCGTATGAATCTGCCGCTACTCTCCCTGGAGAAGGAGAGCAGCGGCAACCCTAATCTCTCTATCTTTACGCCTCTGAACTCTAAGCCTCTAACGATCCATTTGGTTCCCGTAAGTTAGCCTCCTTTTATAGGAGAAGTTGGCTAACTTACGGGTTACAAGGAAGCCCACGGGCTGATACACATTTGTGGCCCGTATTACACGATTAATTAATAACTACACAAATACAAAGATAACTAACTAGATTGAACACCATAAAATATTCCCAACAGTTTGGACTAGAAACTGTTCTCTACAACTGAATTTTGAAATGTTGCATATGTATTGTTGGTTAGATGAGGTAAATTGGTTTGAAAAAAAGAATTATTTCCCGTTAGTAAAACTAAATAATAAAATCATTCTATCGGTGAAAATACTACTCCCTCCGTCTCGGAATTATTTTCCTACTTTCCTTTTCAATCTATTTCAAAATCATCTCTTTTTTCCCTTTTTAACAAAGAATTTATGGTTCACAACGATTTTTCTTTTCGCTGCACAACTATCTACTACACATTTCCCATTATTTTAAAGCTATGACTAGTCAAATAAGCAGACAAATATGAGAGGGAGATATACTATCGTAGTTTGTAAAAAATCAATTGATTTGAAAGCGTGACATTTGAACGTGGGGTCTTGCACACGCCATACATCCATTCCTTTGGATTTGAAAGCTAGAAAGGTCTTGCACAAACTAGATGATCGTATGCTCCTAAACACGCTGAAAGGAAGATACTAGAATGGCCATGAACATTCTGGAGAGCGGATTTCTTTATAATAATATCACCGCTTTCCTCCCGCACTCTTCAATTAGCGAAGTTCACACTAAAAATTGTTCACCAAGCTATTTTCAGAGTTGTTCTATACTTGCACTTGGGTTTTCGTGATTGCTTTTGAGTTTTTGAGGGAAGACAATTATGGCCGGAAAAGGTGAAGGACCAGCAATCGGAATCGATCTGGGAACCACGTACTCCTGCGTCGGAGTGTGGCAGCACGATCGCGTGGAGATCATAGCAAATGATCAGGGAAACCGAACGACTCCGTCTTACGTCGCATTCACGGATACCGAACGTCTCATCGGCGATGCCGCGAAGAATCAAGTCGCCATGAACCCTATTAACACCGTCTTCGGTACGTTTCACATCTTCATATTTGGTTTCTGATCCATGACTTCCTTTTAGCATGGCATCACTTTTGTCTGTAGCTCCTATAGTCCTATGTATAGTTGTATGGCATTTAGGCCGGGTTATAAACAAGTTCTGTGATCTGTATACATTGAATTGTTAATGACTCTATGTATGTGCTGATTAAACAGTGTAGTTGTCGATTGGATGTGGTACTTGTCACTAATAAACTAATTTCTTGTTATACTGAGATATATGGAATTAATTATCTACGTTATCTACTAGTATAGTGATTTCTAGTATATATAATGATTTCTAAAGTATTTGACTATGAGTACATACGGATGAATTCTGATTGTAATGTGGAATGTCTTTAATTTGAATTGATTTAGATGCTAAGCGCTTGATTGGGAGGAGATTCAATGATCCTTCAGTACAGAGTGACATGAAGTTATGGCCGTTTAAGGTGATTCCTGGTTCCTGTGACAAGCCAATGATAGTAGTGACATACAAGGGTGAGGAGAAGCAATTTTCTGCGGAGGAAATTTCTTCTATGGTTTTAACAAAGATGAAGGAGATTGCAGAGGCTTATCTTGGAAGTACAATCAAGAATGCAGTGGTCACTGTGCCTGCTTACTTCAATGACTCGCAACGCCAGGCAACTAAGGACGCTGGAGTTATCTCTGGCCTCAATGTTATGCGAATCATCAATGAACCCACCGCAGCTGCAATTGCATATGGTCTGGACAAGAAATCAACCAGCTCGAGTGAGAAAAACGTGCTGATCTTTGACCTGGGTGGTGGTACTTTTGATGTTTCACTGCTAACAATTGAGGAGGGTATCTTTGAGGTGAAGTCGACTGCAGGTGACACCCATTTGGGAGGTGAGGATTTCGATAACAGAATGGTGAACCACTTTGTTCAGGAATTCAAGAGGAAACACAAGAAGGATATCAGTGGGAACCCCAGGGCATTGAGGAGGCTGAGGACATCTTGCGAGAGGGCAAAGAGGACTCTGTCCTCCACTGCTCAGACCACCATCGAAATTGATTCATTGTTTGAGGGCATTGATTTCTACACGACCATTACGAGGGCTAGGTTCGAGGAGCTTAACATGGATCTGTTCAGGAAGTGTATGGAACCAGTTGAAAAATGCTTGAGAGACGCGAAGATGGACAAGAGCAGTGTCCATGATGTTGTCCTTGTAGGTGGGTCCACTAGGATCCCCAAGGTTCAACAATTGCTACAGGATTTCTTCAATGGCAAAGAGCTCTGCAAGAGCATCAACCCGGATGAAGCGGTTGCATATGGAGCTGCTGTCCAGGCTGCTATTCTGAGCGGAGAAGGCAACCAGAAGGTTCAAGACCTGTTGCTGTTGGATGTCACTCCCCTCTCCCTTGGTCTGGAGACAGCTGGCGGTGTTATGACAGTTTTGATCCCGAGGAACACAACCATCCCCACAAAGAAAGAGCAGATCTTCTCCACGTACTCAGATAACCAGCCGGGTGTTCTGATCCAAGTCTACGAAGGAGAAAGGGCCAGGACAAAGGACAACAACCTGTTAGGCAAATTCGAGCTTTCTGGTATTCCGCCAGCCCCCAGAGGTGTCCCGCAGATCACTGTCTGTTTTGACATTGATGCCAATGGCATTCTAAATGTCTCAGCTGAAGACAAGACGACAGGCCAGAAGAACAAGATCACAATTACCAATGATAAGGGAAGGCTTTCCAAGGAGGAGATTGAGAGAATGGTGCAGGAAGCTGAGAAGTACAAGTCTGAAGACGAGGACCACAAGAAGAAGGTGGACGCTAAGAACGCCTTGGAGAACTACGCGTACAACATGAGGAACACCTTGAAGGATGATAAGATCGGCCCCAAGCTTCCACCGGCTGAGAAGAAAAAGCTTGAGGATGCAATCGAGGGAGCCATTCGTTGGCTTGACTCCAACCAACTTGCAGAGGTGGAGGAGTTTGAAGATAAGATGAAGGAGTTGGAGGCCTTGTGCAATCCGATAATAGCGAAGATATACCAGGACGGTGGAGGCGTGGGTGGTGGTGCACCAGTGGGTGATTACGATGCTCCTCCTGCAAGTGGTGCTGGACCTAAGATCGAAGAAGTCGACTAATCAAACTGTTAGCTGCAGACTGCAGTAGTTTGTTTCCTTGTTGGTTTTGTTTGCTGTTAAATCTGAATGAATCTTGGATCACATTCTTCACTTTTTCTTTAAAGCGAACTGTTAAAATCTGGTCTCAGTTCGCCTCGTTATGAACGTAGTACTCCGTAATAGTTCTTCACTTCACTGTTTCTTTTGCTCCTTTTGTTTACTGCTGCGTATCACAAGAATAACTACTTAATTCAATGAATGCCTCATCCAGAATAGTTAACTAAAGCAGTATATAGACAGGGGGTAGGGTTGTAAAAGCAGAAGATTTACCAACGGATTGAATAACAAAAATTTGGAACCTAAATAGGAGTAAACAAAACAGGGGGTAGGGTTGTAAAAGCAGAAGATTTACTAACGGATGTTTCATTTTTTAATGTCATCCTGTTATTGTTTCTTTGTTTCTAATTCGTTCTTACTTTATTTTCATTTTATCAATTCATTATCAATCACAAAATTCTACTTTTCATAAAAAACAACACAATTCTTCACTTTATCAATTTAAGCCCACTTTATCAATTTAAGTATTATGACGGCCGGTGCAAGGATGATGATTCTCTAGATAGGAATAAAACATCTAAGTACAAATTTTAATGTTTGATAGCAAAAAGACTTGTGTTAATACTAAGATAGTAATTAAAATTTGTAGGGAGTTATGTGAGAGGAAAAGAGATGCTTGAATGCTTGATGCGAGAACACAAAGGAAAAAAGGGTGAAGGAAGAGGAGAGAATAAAATATGAAGAAGGTACTAAAAATGATGGGAAGTAATGGGATGAGAATAAAAAATGTAATTTTTACGTTCGTCTTACTTCTATTTAGGATAATTACTTTATTTTATTACGGAAATTAAAATGCATTATTAGGAAATTAGAGTTTGCAAGTTTGTTTATCGTGGATCCACATTTCTTCCACAAATTATAAATATTTATAGACATATGCTATTTCTTGCGTCTTATTTTACCTGTTGTTGAAGGTAAGTCCCGTAGATCCGAAAGTCCAACACGAACCTTGGATATATCAGGAATGGATCAGAATCAAAGTGTATAACAAAATATAAAAGATGAATCCACCACTCATATCCAAAAGTCCACTTGTAATACTTAAATTGTCTGATTACAAGGAAACTTCCCGATCCGTAGGTCGGAACAGTGCTTTTAATACAGGAAACAACAGTAATAATGTTATTCTAGAGCTTGAGTATCGAAATGCTAACCCTTACAATGATATTAAACCTTCTATTTATACTAATGGAGAGTATGGGCTGCTTTATGCTGATTGGCCGTTGTTCCACCGACTTGATCACTCATGCTTCCACTTGCTGATGTCACAATCTGACATTAATTGCACCTGGTCACTTGCTAGTTGCCCGTTGCTCGAATGAGATGCTGGACCATGCGGATGATGCTGTCAAATTGGCCCAAGTATGATATATGGTCCGAACTCCGTTCGGTATCTCTTCTTTCTGGGCCGACCTTTACTCGGACCGAAACTCGTTCGGTACAGATTGTTCACTGGACCTGCTCATCATAGGGTAATGGACTCGTTGTTTGGGCCGGGTATTCTGGGCCTTTTTAATCCGGGTATTGGGCCTCCGGGTCAATATCCCAACACAAATCCCCCACTTCCGATGTCTCGAATGACAGTGAGTGCATTAGGAAGTATGAACACCAATGTTGCAACTGCCGAATGGTGATCGGGGTACATAAGTGATCAGTTCCCCATACTGTGATTTGACGGCTGTCGTTTGCTTTCCCCTATAATTGTCATGATCACTGTCGTTTAGTCTTTTCATTAGACACACGTTTAGCTTAAATGGTTCTAATGACGTGTTGCTCCCTGATTGGTCCTCGATACAGTGGTTTTAAGGCTATAAATTAGCCTTTGGCTTCTCAATTCCGGGTTTCGAATTTTCAATCTCCTTTGCATCGTTGCTCTGCTTCTGAACTTTTTCCTTCAAGCCTTCGTGTTCAGGTAGTTTTCCTCCCTCTAATTTCTTGCTTCATTTCTGGCTCGGTCGAGATGAGTTCTCAACCGCATTCCCCTGATTCGGAAATGGTCTCTCAAGGAGATGACCGTGATGCTGCCGTCGTGGATGTCATTACAATTCCATTCGCCGGTGGTTCTACTGAAACAGCAACAAATACTAGGTCGGAGGCGGAGGACCTTCCTAGCAGTTCATCTTCCTCTGATGAAAGCTCTGATGGAACGAAATCCGAGGATGAAATGGATTTAATGGCGGCCAGGCGCCCGAACGATGTTCCCCGTCACATACTCGACCTAAGTTTAATTAGGGAAAGACGACAAAAATTGACTGCCAATAATAGGGCCGAAATTCCGGCCCTAATCCCAGACCCAGTGGACTTCCGGTTGCGAGCTGGGCTTCATCCCCTGCGTCACGCCCCCGGGAAGGTCGTAGTCCATTTCGATTCAGTTAGGGTTGCGCTTAGATTTCCGTTACACGAATTTTTCGTTTCTTTTTTCAATTTTTACGAATTTGTACCTGTCACGCCCCGGACCTACCCGGACACATCAACAACCCTTCAGGGTCCTATCTTATGTGTTACCGCTACCGGAACCTAGTTAGGTCTCCGATTCGAATTCCACCCTAACCCGTGATCACGATGCAAGTCTGTGCTATCCAACCCCGCTCTCTAGAGTCGGGAAGGGCCATGGTCCTTACTTATTTCCATAATTCAACCGGCTATCCGCAAGGACTACCGAACACACCCGTAGGCCAATCCTATACTTAGGATCAATTTATTACTTACTCTATCTTGGGTATCCCTTAAGGCCTACCCCTAGTATAACTTAGAGTTCATACTTTCCTACCTTAAAGCATCTCTTAAGACTACTTAAGGCATAACATTTCACAATACAACCTTAGGATCAATCTTAACAACATTTCATTTTAATGTCCAACTAGTATCTTAATACTAGTCAAATTAATACCAACAAACCAAGTTCTCAACTCATAGTCATATAGACAATTCCAACTGATTTTCCTTTGAAAATGTCATTTATCCCAATATTCAAAATATCACTTTAAATCACTCATATATTCTAATATGAAGAAAAAGTATATTTCAACACATGTTTCATAATTAATTCCACTTTCAAGTCAACATATTCATAGCACATGATCATACACAATTTACTTTTAAATTTGTATATCATGCTCCTTTTTCTTTAGACATTAGTCTTCTCATTCTTAGGCATTATTAATCATTAATAATCCATAAAAACACATTTAATTACCTTAGGTAATCTCATGAAATTAACTCACTAATTATAAGCAATATAGTCAGTCATCCTCACCTTATGATGTGCTGAAATAGTCGCCTTTGTTGAGCCCCCCGATTAATCCTCGTTTTAAACCGATAAGAAGGCAAAACTGGACTGCCTCAGCAAAAGCCGGACGGCTTTCGTAGTCTGCAACTACGAACAGCTCCTTTGGAGTGGCGGTTTCCGGCGATTTCGACTCCTATCGATTTGCCAACCTTTCTAAGTTAATTAACACCACTTTATAACAATATTCTACACTTTTAAACGTGTAGAACATCATGTTTAATCCACCATATGATTTCTTACAAATCATACTTGATAAAACTAGTTAATGCATACTAGTTGGACCCTTACCCCAATTCTTAGCTTTTATTCTTGGATCCTCCTCTCCTCTTGGTTTTTCAAGCTCCAGAACTTTGAGAGCCTTTTTCCTGGACCTTATCTCTCTTATGCTGGTCGAATGGTTGTAAGATGGGTAGGGGGAGGTTCTTCTCAACCAACACCATCATATTATGGGGATATGACATGAGGGGTGTGGGTTTTGTCTCAATTGAGCCTTCCCATTTCCAATCATCCGCCCTTCCCATGTTATTTGGTCACTCAGCACCCATCAAAACGTGGGGTGGCCCCTACTTATGTGGGAGGTCATCCCATTATGTCCCGGTGTGTACGATCGGCCCCGAAAGTTGTATTTCTCGGCCCGTTTTTACCATATTTTATTTTATCGGGCCAAATAAAATATATCACGTGTTCCTAATAATTATGGGCCTTTAGAACAGATGTGCGTTCCCCAACATTAATTTAGGAGTCTCCGAAACTCATTTCGGAGTGTTATCCGCTAAATTATCAATACCGATAATTGGGCCCCGTTTGACCAACCGGTCAACTCCATGCCTTTCTTATGGCCCAAATAGAATATCCACCACCACATAGATGTCATCTAGACCAAGATGAATATAATATGTGGTTCGGGAATTATCAGGCGGTCCCCGTTCCCGCTGTGGGCCCCACATGCAATTTACTATTCACGTAAAAGAAATAATAAAATTTAATAATTACGTAAATTCATAAATCATCCTTCAAGGTTTACAACATAATTTACTCAAAGTAAACATGCTTGGGGACGGTGTCACAAGTTAACCCCCCCCCCCCCTAACGGGATATTCGTCCCCGAAATTCACAACGATTATTCAAACAGAAATGCATATTGTTCCTTCATCGAGGCTTCAGTCTCCCAAGTTTCTTCTTCAACTCGGTCACTCTTCCAAAGGATTTTAACCATTGGAACTTTCTTGCTTCTTAGCTTCTTTACTTGCCAATCAAGTATCCTTACCGGTTGCACGGCGTAGTTCAAGTCTTCCCGTATTTCCACAGGTGGTTTTTCTAGTACATGAGATGGATCCGGAATATACTTCTTAAGCATAGACACATGGAATACATTATGTATCTTCTCCCATTCTGGAGTCAACTGTAATCGGTATGCTACGGCCCCAATTCTTTCAAGAATCACAAATGGCCCTATGTAGCGTGGGTTAAGTTTCTCTCGGCTCTGAAATCGGATGATCCCTTTCCAAGGTGAAACCTTCAAAAATACGTCATCTCCAACCTTAAACTCTAAGGCTCTTCGGCGCTTATCGGCATAGCTCTTCTGTCTATCCTGTGCCGCCTTAAGTCTCTCGCGAATCATCTTCACCTTTGACTTGGTGATCTCCACTAGTTCCGTACTCTCGAGTTTGGCCATGCCAACCTCATCCCAACACAAAGGTGTACGACATCTCCTCCCATACAATGCCTCGTATGGAGGCATGCCTATACTCGCCTGATAACTGTTGTTATAAGCAAACTCCACAAGTGCCAAATGGTTGTCCCAACTTCCTTGGAACTCCAATGCACAAGCTCTCAGCATATCCTCTAATATCTGAATAACCCGC